TCGCGCTGGTGGGCAGCGCTGGGCTCCCTGCAGGGCCGGCGCGGCTGAGAGTTGTACTACACGTTGGACGGTGGGCAGCGCTCCCGGCTCGGGGCGGGGGGGGGAGGCGGCCACACAGCGCTCTCTGCTGTGGAAGGGGCAGCGTTGGCCTCCCGGCTGGGCGGCCGCGCTGGGCTCCCTGCTGGGCGGGCGCTGCGGAGAGCTGCTCTTCGGGGAGGCGTGCTGCGCTCACCTGGGAGCTCTCGGCTGGGGGCGCCTGGTCTTGGGCTCCCGCCTAGGGGCGGCCACGCTGCGCTCCTAGCTGAGGGCGCCGCGGCCGAGGTCCCGGATGGGGACGGCCGGACCGAAGTCCCGGATGGAGGCAGTCGCTCTGCGCTCCCGCCTGGGTCGGGATGGGGGGGGGGATGCTATGCTTCCGGCTGGGGGTGGGCAGCGCTGGGCTACCGGCTGGGCAGCCGCGCACTCTCCACTCCAAGCCGGGCGGCAGCGCTGAGCTCCCTTCTGGGCGGGCGCTGCGGAGAGCTGCTCTTCAGGGCGGCAGGCATCGCTCTGGCAGCTGCGCTCCCAGCTGGGGGCTCTCGGCTGTTGGCGGCCCCTCCCGCCTGGGGGCGTCCGCGGTGCGCTCCCAGCTGTGTCCCTAGCAGGCTTCACGTCCTGGGCTCCAGGAGCCTGGAAGGGAAGGCAAGGACCACCAGAGGAGAACGAAGTGGGCAGGGCCATAGGGGATGCTTTTGCTGTTGTGGAAAGGGGACAAGATGCACAGGATTTCCAGAAGAGACAGGAACAAAGGAGCTGTTGCTTCGGGAAGCCCGGCTGCACTTCTGGTTGCCCACAACACAACCCCCCGCCCCAACCCCTGCAAGCAACCTGTGCAAAGGGAGCTTGTCTGGGCCCATGTCCTCCACTGACCTCCGGATCCACCGTTCAGCAGTAGCTGGAACCCCATAGGGATGAGGCATTCGAGCTCAGTCCTGGGGTAGGATGCCCAGCTGAGCACTACACTCAAAGGAGATCCTGCGGGAACCACGCACAGCAGGCGGTAGGAACACTACCAGTTCTCCAGGGTGCAGGCTCCCTGGGTTCTGGTAGCCTGGAAGGCAGGAGGATCGTGGGGGCGAGAGCACGTGGGGGATGGGGCACCTGGGAAAGCCTGTGGGTGGAGGAGAACACAGGGGGCGGGACCCCAACGCCTCCTGCTGTGGAAATGGGACCAGAGTACCCTTGGCTTCCAGAAGAGACAAGACCATAGGAGCTTCCAGAAGCAAGTCTCTCCTTGATCCCAGCGCCCACAGCGCCACCCAGTCTTTGACCCTGATCCTCTGCAAGACACTGTGGCATCAGCACCCCTTGGGCTGCACCTACTTTGAGGAAAGGTAAACTGACTTCAGGATCCTAGGAGTAGCCAGCTACAGGACAGATCTGCAAGAGCAGTGTGCTCTTAACTGCTGACTGAGCCATCTTTCTGGCCCCAAATTACCTACTGTTTAAAAAGACGGTCGTTAAAATTATATGTGTTGGGGGAAGGGGTATGCACATGAGTGTAGGTGCCCCCAGAGGTCAGTGTCAGATCCCCTGGAAATGGAGTTACATCTAATTGTCAGCCACCTGATGTGGCTCCAAACGGATCAAACACCTCAATGTGAAACTGGAAACTCTGAAGTATTAGAAGAAAACACTGGCAGTAACCTACAAGACACAGGTGTAGGAAGGACTTTCTGAATCAGACACCAGTTGCTCAGGAATTAAGATCAACAAGCAACAAGTGTAATCTCATTAAACTGAAAACCTTCTCTACAGCAAAAGAAACAATCCTCCAAACGGATCAAACACCTCAATGTGAAACTGGAAACTCTGAAGTATTAGAAGAAAACACTGGCAGTAACCTACAAGACACAGGTGTAGGAAGGACTTTCTGAATCAGACACCAGTTGCTCGGAAATTAAAGTCAACAAGCAACAAGTGTAATCTCATTAAACTGAAAACCTTCTCTACAGCAAAAGAAACAATCAAGAAAGTGAAGAGAAAACCCATAGAATGGGAAAAAATCTTCACCTGACACATCTGGCAGAAGTTCAACATCCAGAATATATAAAGAACTCAAACAATGAAGAAAACAAATAACCCAATTAAAAGATGGGCTAAAAATCTAAACAGAGATTAATGTAGGTATGCAGGAGTTGTACGTGGACCTTTCAAAAAACCAGCTCTTAGATTCACTGATTTTTTTTAATATTGTTTCCTTTGTCTCTATTTCATTAATTTCTGCTCTGATTTTTCTTATTTCTTCTTGTCTACTCGGTTTGGGGTTGATTTTTTCTTGCCTTTTCAGAATCTTGAGTTGTACTGTCAAATCGGGTACACGTGCTCTTTCTGATTTTTTAATGTAGGCACTAAGCTATAAACTTCCCTCTTGGGACTGTTTTTTTTTTTTTTAATTTTTTTAAATTTTTTTGTCTTTTTGAGACAGGGTCTCCCTGAAGTCCCAGCTGACCTGAACTCACTATGTAGACCAGGCTGGCCTTGAACTTACAACGATCCACCTGCCTCTGCCTTCTGAGTGCTGGGAATAAAGGCAGTGTGCCACCACGCCTGGCTTTTTTTGTTTTTATGTGTATGTGTGTATTCCCTGCATGTAGGTAAGTGCACCCATGTCGTGCAATGCCTGCGGAGGTCAGAAGAGGCTGTTGGATCCCCTGGGACTGGAGTTACAACATTTGTTAGCTGCCATGTGGTGCTGGGATTCAAAACTGGGTCTTCTGCAAGAATAACCAGTGTTCTTAACTGCTGAGCCATCTCTCCAGCCCCCTGGTCCTGTGTTTCTAACCAAACCTAAACACTGACCTTAAGCAGATCAGTGTCTACCATCTGGATTTCACTGAAGGGCAGCGGAGTGTCCTTAAAGTTTCATAAAATCTACATGCAATGTGATGTTAAGAAAGTTAAGCCATTGAAAATAAAATAACTTATTTTTAGACACTCATTATTTTGAGAGTTTTCATGCAGTAATACTTTCCTTTCTTTTGTTCTCCTTCCCTTCTGTTCCATTCAGTTCCCTTCCCTCCCCTTCCCCTCCCCTCCCCTCCTCCCCAGGTGGAATTCTATTTCAGAGCCTGTTTATACTGAGTCTGATGGAGCTCTGCTCAGAAACCTCTGTGCTTCACATGTTGAATGGGAGTCCAGCCTAAATTGGCTGTGTGCAGATCTCCACAGGCGGGGAATTTCAAGGGCTGAGAAAGTAATGTCCCTTTAATCTGTGAATTAAAATGGTCATGTCCCTTTTATCCACTGCCAGCCAAGAGCAAAATGCACAGGGCTGGTTGGCCAAGGCAGCCCTGTGGGAGGTGAGGGCCAGAGAGAACGGTGGATAGAAGGCCAAGTACAGCCCAGAATAGACCTGTGTGTATCTCTTAAAAAGTAAAACATCCATTTCCACTAAAGTAGATCTCCCCTCCCTCTTTCTCCTGTGCCCTTCTAAGCCCTTCAAAGTGTCACTTTTCTTCCACCACCATTCTACAAGTGCACACAGGAAGCTGGTAGTGCTGTTGTCACTATCTGTACTTTCTACAGAGACAAAATAGAGCACGTTTTAAAAAATTCAACATTGCTTCAACTCTATGTAGATGTCTATAAACCCCTCATTAATTTTGTTGCATAATGTCCCATCACATAGCTGTATAACACTACTTAATCATTTATAGGCTGTAAGTTTCACTGTAAAGAACGTGCGTCTATGAACAAGGGTCCTTGTCCGTATTTTTTGGTGTTCTCTATCTACAAGAGTTGACCAAAATATTATTGTACGTGTTCCACATTACTATTATTGCTCAATTGCCTCTCCCAAGTGGTCATATTAAGGTACAAGCCCCAAAATTAATACTTCCTGTTTTCCTATACTTTGTTAAAAGAATTGACAAACCTTTGTTTTTCAATGTGAAGGTTATAAAAAACTTAAGTGGTACCAGAGCTTGCATTTCTCTGAATGGTCTTTTCGTTGTTGTCTCTTTAAGAGTTTCCTTGTAGCCCCAACTGGTCTGGAACTCACAATGTAGACCAGGCTAGCCTCAAACTCACAAAGATCCTCCTGCCTCTGCTTCCCAAGTGCTGGAGTTAAAGGCATGACCACCATGCCTGACTCTGAATGGTCTTTTTACGTTTGTTAGCCATCTGGATTTGGAAGTGGGGCTCACTAGTTCACATCCTTTTGGAGGAAGAGTCTGAGAAGAATCATTAGTTCTTTAAATGGTGGACAGAATTCAGCAGTGATGTCAAGTCGTGCGGTTTTCTTTGATGGAAGACTTCTTGATTCAATCTCCTTCTTTATTAACCTGTTAAGATCTGTTTCTTGATGATCCATCTTAAAGGGCTGAATTCTCCTGTGCTTCATACATTTAACTGATGAAATCTCTTGTATTTTATTTCTAATGTTCAGTCTTCCTTAGTCTAGCTAAAAGTTTTTTATATGCTTGTGAAAGCTACCTTAAAGCCTTAAAATAGGTTCAATTTTCTTCATTTAAGAGTGGGTTCAATTATTTTCAATTAAGTATAAAATTTTGTGAGAAAGGAGATCTTTTCTACAGTAAAATGACCTTTCATGTTAACAGAATCTTCACTGCTACTTAATGATTTTGCTCCAATCCAGAAGGACACCATCATACTGTCATAAGTGGCTAGAAATTAGCAACTGGACAATCTACCTTCGGATTTAGATTTAACCCCTTTTATCAACAAATATTTATTGAACATCTAACATATGAAAGGAACCATATGAGAAAAGACCCAGTATTTAGTAGGCCTCAGGAAACTTGCAGTCCAGCGTGAAAAGCAGAGAATACGCAAGGACAGCCCAAGAGAAAAGAGAAGCTATCCTAGTGATTTTCAGTAGTTACAGACAAAAGGATTTATGTTTTAAGACCATGGGCCATTTTAAGAAATCTTGATAGCAGTACTAAATTTAAATTGTAGGCCTGACAGCTATCTCAGAAAGCCCAGTCTTGATAATTCGTCATCTAAGAAATGTACTTCTTAGCTTCTATTTTGTTTTGGACTTCCTACAGCTTGTTTAGAAGACAAAGGGTGTAATTCTGACATTTGTCTCTCAACCATTCAGAAGTTTCTTGCAGTCAGGAAATAAACTAGGGGGTCTCTAGTCTGGATCACTGCTGCTGCTGCTTGAGATTCACATCAATATCCTACCACACTGTACCTGTTAGTTTGTGTGGCAAACAGAACATGGCATGCTGCTTTTGCCTTTCTCTCTTGAATCACTTGCTCTGGGGAAGGAAGCCAGATACTATGTCTTAAGAATCCTAGAGAAGCTAGCAGAGTCAGGTACCAAAGACACAGGCTAACAGCTACCTGAATGAGCTTAGACATCCTCCAGGCTGGACACGGTGTACATGCTTTATGATCCCAGCACTTAGGAGGTGGAGGCAGAACAACCAGGAGCTCAAGGTTGTTCTCAAGCAAATTAGAGGCCAGCCTAGGCTACATAAGACCTTGTCTCAAACAACAACAACAAAAGCAAAACCAGGCTGGTGGAAGAGCACCTGACCAGCATGCATGAGACCCTGGGTTCAATCGCCGACACTCAGGACAAAAAAGAAGTGTGAATCTCCTAAACAAAATCTGGTTACCTAAGAATATTTTGGCCAGAGCAAGAGGTGAAGAAGCAAGGAAGAAGAGAACAGCACGATGTACAGCAGGGACATAACCAAAAAAACTCTGCTATTTGCTCTCTCCTCATCCCTGGTCCCTTTGACCTTTATTTATTCTCAATACCCCTGTCTTTTTCACAGGCCTTCTAGTCTTTATCTGGATGACTGGCATAACAGGATAATAAATCGTATGTGAGATCTGGTCTAAAATATGCTTCAGTTTTCCTAAATGTGTCATTTCTTAATCCATTGAATGAGTATCACTGTATCATTTCAAATTTACATTTTACTGGACTTTGGAACTTGTACTGAGCACATTCATTAGGCATAACTAAACACTCTTGCCCAAGAAACACACACATTAGTGACAAGTGAACAGTCTTCTGTCTATAGTGAACCTCAAATAAAATATAAATACATGAATAATCTTATCTTTCTAGCATTTAATGTTTTTAGTGGATTTTGTGCTCTAATTGTAAATTTCTTTTTGATTTTTGCCTACATGTATGTAAGTGCACCCGTGCAATGCAATGCCTGTGGTGGTCAGAAGAGGGCGTCAGATCTCCTAGAACGGGAGTTACAGACAGCTGTTAGCCGCCATGTGGGTCCTGGAAACTGAACCTGGGTTCTCTGCAAGAGCTGCCAGTGCTCTTAACCACTGAGTCATCTCTCCAGCTCCCTGTGTTCTATTTTTATTCTGAGTTCACACAGGCAATATACTATTTCCCATCCCTGGTAACAACAAAAATTTGGTTTAACTATCATTTTAGTGATTTCAGTTAGAAAGGTAATAGACTCTATATTACTTGTAGGAAGAAATGACAAACAATAAATCAGTCCTTTATTTTTTTATCTGTATGCCAACTTATAATGTGAAATCAATTAGAAGCTCAATCAGAACAGTCTTTGAGAGGTAGACTGGAGAGGATTTTAAGTGTAGGCTTTGTT